CAAGGTGTTAGTTTGGGAAGATGAAAAATTACTGGAGATGGCTGGTGATGATAGTTGTACAATAAGGCGAATGTGCATAATGCCACTGAACTGTGTACTTAACAGTGGTTAAGGGGGTAAATTTTATGTTATGTATATTTTAGCTGCAATTTAAAAAATGAAATAAACATAAATATATATATATATATATATATATATGGTCTGTAATGTCCAAAACGACCGAAAAGATGACTAAATACTGGAAGTCAGTCCTGCAGTCCGACTTTCCTTCCAGACAAAGCCATAGTGGTGGGGGCCGAGGCAGAGGCAGTTAGGGGCAATCAGGCCAGCAGGGAAGGGCAGTTGGGGGCAAGATCAGGTCAACAGGCAGGGCTGTTAGAGGTGATCAGGCTTGCAGAGGAGGGCAGTTAGGGAGAGATCGAGCTGGCAGAGGGATTAGGGGCCAACGGTCCCATATTGTGAGAAGGATGTCCAATTGGAGAGGGTGCAGGCTGGGCTGAAGAAACCACTCCCCCCCCCCCCCCCTCCCGCAAAAATTTTATTCACTGAGCCACTAGTATCTACATTAATAAAGGCAACAAAAGAAAAAGCCACACAATTCTTTCTGTTGCTGGCCAACTCTGTTGAAAATTTAATCCTTTGTAATCACCCCTGTTCATCCAAATTTTGTGCTCATAGGAAACAAAGCAGAGCCTTCCCCCTGCAGAAAGGCATACAGCTGCCCCCTCCCAATAGGTTCTTCAAGGCTAACTAGCCCCAGGTCTCCCAGTAGGTGATGCACTTTTGTTTAGTTTCATAATTTAATTTGTAAAAAGTCATGGTCAAGATAAGGAACATGCATTGTGATTGGCTGAAAAGCCTTGCTTACTCACTGTCTCCCTTTTTATTTCTTCGTTGATGAAACTGAGTTGTTTGCCCTGGAGAGTTTGGGTACTGCATCCCTCTGCTGTATACTACATCCGCACCTTCCTCTGTCCTCTGTATTTTCTGTGAATTGGTAATGCATTAGATTGATATATTTTATTTTATAGATGCATGTAGTCCAACCATATAATAATTTATTCTAGGATTTATTTATTTATTTATGTATGTATGTATTTATGTATTTATTTATTTATTTATTTATTTTAATAATGGAGGGGCATTCTTTTCCCCTCAACTTATTGTTTGGAAAATTGCAAGCATGCAGAAAAGTGTCAAGAATACTATAATGAAGATACCTAAGTACCCTTTATAGATTCACCAACTGTTGACATTGAGCCATGTTTGCTTTCTCTCTCCCTCTCTACACGCACTCGCACGCACACACACATACACACACAGGTGTTTCCCCTGTGTCACTTGAACTGAAATTGTAGATATGATGGCACTTTAAAATATTTTAGCACACAGCTCCTATAAGAATGCTATAGGATGTTCTCCTATATAATCCCCATCATGTTGACTCAATATTGTTATATCTAGCTTATATAGTGTCATTTAGTGCATATTTCCATCATTATCCAAATTATGTTCTTTATAGCTATGGGTATTTTTAAAAATCAGAACCCAAGCAAGGATCATGAGTTGTATTTGGTTTTCACGCCACTTTAGTTGCCTACATGACATTGACATTTTTTGGAAAATCCTGGCTAGTTGCTTTACAGAAGGTCCCCAAGTTTGGAATCGCCTGATTGTTTCCTAATGATTAGATGCAGGGCGAATGTTTCCAGGGAGAAGACCGCACAGGCAGTGCTGTATCCTTCAGTGTAATGCTCGGGGGTGCATGGTGACTGTTTGTCCCACATTGGTGGTGGGTTCAGCCACTGGGTGAAGGCGATGTCTGTCAGATTTCACCATTGTAATGGTACCTTTCTCCATTGTAATCAATAATCTACCACATGTTAATGGTTGTGGTTTTTTTAAAAACAGTTTCAAGACCCTATGCCATTGATAATAGGAGAAATTAACAGGAAAAGGCTTTTAACAAATATACGTAAAGAGTTATTGCCACTGGTAGAAAGATAGTATCAGTTTTCCTGAGAGGAGAAAAGGGGGGTGATGGGTAGTAGAGGTGAGGAATGGCTGTTAGAGAAGACAGACCGTGTTTAGATCCCAGCTCCACAGTTGAATCGGTGCAACTTTAGGAAAGTTACCTAACATCTCAGACCCTCAATTTCCTGCCTAAAATGAGTGTGCAATAACATAATTCACGGCAAGGCTGTTAAGGTGACTAAATGAGATGGTGTGTGAGCGGCCTCTACCCCAGCCACTCCCCCACAGCCATTCCGTGGGAGATGTGGAGGAGGTGCTTCGAAGCCCTCTGCAGAGGGTAAGCCTGTTCATGGGTGTTAATTCTCCAGTTTAGCTTGAACTATTCGGCATGATGATAAGAAAATGTGATCAACAGGTTGGGCAACATTGTGACATTTCCAAGAAAGGAATTAAGAATTGGGAGACATTTCCAGGCTTCTTAAATAAGATTTGTCTGTAGCGAACTTGCAGAGAATCGAGTTGCCTTGTATTCAGACCTCTTTCTGATTGCAATCCATTTGAATCTATTACCGGGGATTATTTTTGAAACAGTTTATATGTAGTCTGATTGAGAATAGTGAATCATAATAATTCCGTGACCCATTTACATGTATTACTGTAAAAGTTTCATTCCATACAAGTGACAATTTTTTAAAGTTAATTAGACTTGGCTGTACTGAGGTTAGCAAAAAGTGCTTTGAATTATCAATAATTCAGCAGGGCAGACATTTCTGTATAATGCAGTGGTTTTATAGAGTATTGTGAGATAGTTATCCCTAAAATAAATGGTGGTGAGCATTCATCAGCGTGGTGGGGCTCACACTTGAATGTAGCGTGAAGTGATAGCATCTATGCTTTCTATTATTGGGCAGAGTGTGGGACATCAGTCTTTCTGGCCATGAACTACTAGCAACCTTTGTCCTTTGTGTTACCTTTAGTTAAAAACGAAAAATGAGCATGAATGCTGGCTGATGGCCATGTCTTTCTTGCAGCTAAAAATTCATCGGGGAAAGAAAAATGGGATTGCAGGTTTGGATTTGTTTCATTGCATGAATGATATGTGACATTTTGTAAATTATTTATCACGGCAAGGATGGCAGCAATGGCTTGAGCATTGTTATATCAAATGAAAGCAGGAATCCCATTAGTACAAGGACCGGGTTTCAGCTAGAATCTATCAGGGGAATGTTGTCATTTTAAAACCAGATTGTTCTTTTAATTGCTATTTAAGGGAACAAAAGTGTTCCCAAGGTACTGCAGTTGAGCAGTTGCAAGTAATAACTATGGATCCATAATTATGCCGTGCTGATTATCTGGCATTTAAAAATTTGTGGCTGGAGTCAGTGACCAATTTATTGTAACTTGTCTTTTTTGTTGTTTTTCAAATTCAAACTGTATTATATATATATTTTTTAACCAAGGCCTCAAAAGCACATTTGCATAGCTACCTCAGAAAGTAAAGCCTGGGCATATTGAAAGAACACCTTACACTGAAAATAAGGGCAAAATGATGAACACTTATATTGTAAGATAAAAATAACAGTCCTATTTAACAATTTTGTAAATGCTTGGTTACAAGACAGATTCTGGTGTTTGAGGACATGTTGTCACGGTGAACCAAGACATTTGTTGGAATCATTGTAAGCATTTGAAATATTTTCTTTGAGATGAGCGTTGGTTTTTTTGTTTTTTGTTTTGTTTTTGTTAAACTAGCATATGTTTCTTTCATTTATGCCATTAGCAAATATTTTTTGAGTGCCTACTGTGCATCAGGCAATGTATTAAGGCATTTGGGATAGAGTAAACTGAACAAATGATGTTTATTCTATGCTGATGTATATTTAGAAAGACCTAGCAAAATCTTGTTTTAAATTTACATTAAAAATTTCGTGCTTATACTAAGTTTTCTTGCCCCGAATCTTTGATTCAAAAGATTTAAATATAAATACATTATAGTTGCATTCAGATGGCTGGCAGACATGTGTGAAGGCTTGGAATATGCAAAAAAAATTTAGTTTTCATACAGTTTTGGTTGTTCAAAATAAATGTGACCAGATCTGTAGGCACAGTCAACTATTCATATGGATGGGAATACTAGCATTGCTGGGAGTCATAAATAACAGTGGAGACACAAAATGTATGCAGATTTATACATTGTTCAAAGCATTTTCCTTAGTGAGAATTAAAGGGTCCTAGGGGGTTAGACAAATGTTTTGTTATTTCTTTTATTAAAGTGGGAATGTCATAGACTGAGAATTTATTTCCTTTATGTGGCATGATATGGTTTACTTTTTAAAAATTGATTTGAGTTGAGAGAGAGAGAATGAATAACAGTAACCTGCACTAAAACATTTGATAAAATTGAGCTAAACAGTCAGACCTAAGTACATGATAATTTGTAATCTCGAATACTGAATACATAGATGAATCAACTTATTATAGGCATATAGGTTATGGGAATGAATAAGATTTCAAATGAATCCTTAATGTTTGTTAATGGAAAGTTGTATGATATACTAGAGACCCAGTGCACGAATTCGTGCACAGGTGGGGTCCCTTGGAGGGAAGGACCACAAGAGATTGGCTGGCCTGGGAGGTTGGCTGTGGGAGCACATTGACCACCAGGGGGCAGCTTCTGCATTGAGTGTCTGCCCCCTGGTGGTCAGTGCATGTCATAGTGACCGGTTGTTTGGTTGTATAATAATAGTCACTTAGGCTAATAGTCACTTAACAATATATATATAATTTCATTGGTTTAATAAAAATTACTTCTAAATCTTACGTATTATACTTAAAAACCTTTAGGCAATAAATTCTTTAGTATCAGATAACTGTAAAGATTTATTTTATCACCAGAAAATGCTGATTTGGACACCTTATTGAGCAGTTTTTATTTATTAAAGAAATATGTAAGCAGCTTTTGACTTTAATGTTTTGTTCTTAATTTTGGAAGACTAACAATATTTTTTTCATTTTAATTGTTATAGCCCCGTGCTGATCCCATTCCAATATGTAGCTTCTGTTTGGGGACTAAAGAATCAAATCGTGAAAAGAAACCAGAAGAACTCCTTTCTTGTGCAGACTGTGGCAGTAGTGGTAAGTTGGTGTGTGTTTTTTTTTTATATGTGTACAATGACTCCCTGTTATAGCTACATGCTATTTATCTCTTTCAAAACTGTATTTATTTCTTAAAGACTTTTTTTTTTTTTTAATTCCAAAGAGGGAGAGAGAGAGAGATAGAAATGTCAATGATGAGAATCTTTGATCAGCTGCCTCTTGCATGCCCCCAACTGGGGATTGAGTGCCACAACCAGGCATATGCCCTGACCTGGAATTGAACCATGAATTCCTGGTTCATAGGCTGATGCTCAACCACTGAGACACTGGCCAGGCAAAACTTTGTTACTTGAAGCAATTATTTGGTAATAGCATATATTTTAAATTTTTATAAGTAATTACAGATAGAGGGGAGAAAAGTGTGAATATATTAGCATTGGCATAAAGTTATATATGTTTATATAACTTATATTAATATTTATAATTAAGCTTTGATTTCATACTAGCATTGGTAATTCAATGTAGAGTATTCTACTTTGCAGGCAGATTCAAGGAGGAGAATTCTAAGTTTTCAAGCTGGAATCATGTGTTTTCTATAACCTGAAGTCTCAATTAAGAGATATTTGAGCTAGGATAGCTAGTGTTTCAGTTCATGACACCTACTGGTGAAATATAGTATTACATCACAACTCTGACTGAAAGGGACAGTATTCTGGAAATTGCAATGATAGAATCAAGAAATCAGACATGAAAGGAATTAAAATTGCCTAGAATTAGGTAGGAAAAGAAAGGTCTTTGTAGAAGGTGATGTTGAAATCAAGGAATGCTGGGCAGGGACACTGGACCGCTGGCAAATGGCAGGATCTCCATATGCTTTCAAGGTGACTCTCACGTCTGCCTTTTTCTCAACATTTGAAGACCACATCTCTAGTTTTATAATAAAAACTAAAAGTCTAACTGTTTACATTAAAATAATTTGTTTTATATTAAGAGCCAGTCTTCCTTCTTCAGCTGGTGACAGTTGTCTAACGGAGATGTGTATATGGTTATATGTTTTGTATTCACACATACACATACTTAAACACACGTACATACATATCAACAGGTTGAGTGGCATTTATTGGATTTTTAAAATTAATTCTTGTGTTAGTCTTTAAATTTTCTTCCAGCTTACTGAAACTCCCCCCAAAGTGATATTTTAAAATTCATAACCAACTACTTATTTCTGTAGTTATAGTTATCTTTAAAAAAAACAAACCTGCCAAACACCATAGCATATTTTCTTTTAGGAAGTCAGTTCATATAGTGGTTAAGAGCAAACTGGAGAGCCAGCAATAGCCTAGCTCCTCTTCATTGAGGTAATTCCTCAACCATTCTGAGCCTCCTTTTCCTCATTAGAAATCTGGCAACATTACCACCTACCTCTTGGGTTTTGTGGGAATTAAAGGAAAGTACACATAAGTAAACAGCCTAGCAGAGGGCCTACAACAACTCTGGCCAGTGTGCTATATATAAATGCCAGCCATTGTTATAATTCGGCATATTTAATATTGCCCTTAATTGCTGCAAGTAATTTAAAATCTCATCACCGCTTTTGGCAGCTGCTCGATGCTTGGATGGAGGGAATGCTTCACACTGAGGCATGACAGTGTTGTGTACTGATGCTTCTTCCCCTTCGGAAGGTTGAACTTGATGGGCTCCATGTGATTCAGCAGCTTCAGGACCTCACTTGGAGGGGGAGCCTTGGAAATAAGACATTTCAAACTCTGCTTGAAAAATGCGTTCTGACAGTCTTTTTGATGGGCCCTACCGATTCATTAAATCCTCTTAACTGCCCATGTTATCATGGAGAGTGACAAAGGGCAGGGAAACATTATCTGTGTGTTCGGTTTAATAAATTTCAGCCCTGCAATCTCTCTGTTTTATCCTGATGAGGTAGTGCCTCACTCATCGGTTCTGACTCTTTAGTTATCTTTTGGGTTTCTCATGAGGCTCACTCTGAATGAATTATTCTTTTGTTTCGCTGCCTGATCAATTCAGAGGTGTTCACTTGTCTAGGGTGTACCCTTTGCGATTTTTAAGGTGATGCTTGAACAGCACCCTTCACTATTTTATTTCATGAGTATATATTTGTCTGGGCACCTAGACAGATTAAAGACACACGTAAGTGTGGGAAGAAAAGTTCCCTTCATACATTTCCTTACCCCTGGTGATACACTTACTTGAGTTGATAAGGAATTCAAGATCATTATCTTCTAGATCATAACTTCAAGGCCTCCTTCACAGGGTATAAAGGTGTAATTCTAAACAGGCAGATCTTAGATGTTCTGATGTAATCAATCTCCCTTCGTCTCTCCCAGATTGAAGGCCTGCCAAAGGAGAGTTTTGATCTCCTTTATACTTTGAGGTCACTGAAATTGTTTTCCCTCCAATGCTTCTTACTTTTCCAGGGTGTGTAGGTATAGTGTTATGTTTTCTTTTTTCAAAAATACTCTCTTGTTTTCTCTTTTAAACACACGGAGAAGAATGGATGGAGGATACTGCCGAGAAGGCTTATGAAGCTAGAGTCATTTTGTGCGCCAGTCTTTCCCCCTCCCTTCAAGTAGACAGAGCCAGAGGCTTTGGAGTGGAGGTATGGGTCATGGCAGAAATTCAAGCCCTGGGGTCATCATGTTCCTTTGTTTAGGACAGAGGATGGCTCAGAGTGCTTCTCTGGACTCTGCAATGGGATCCGGCTCTACTGTTGAGGTTCACTTAATCTTCCCTGGAGTATTGTGCCAGTCTGGAGACAGCTATGTTGGTCAAAAGAACCATTGTTTCTAATTCGGGGAGATGTACTGTAGGCATTTACTTCAACTGGTAGATCAGATGAGTGGACTTTGTTATTTGTTAGTCTTTGAATAGAAGGCTCAGAATAAAATATGGCTCTTCTTAGAGAGCTCAGGAGGACGGGATCTTGTAGTTATAATGCCCAGTTGGACCCCTTGATTATTATTGGGGGAAAGGAATAAAGCCGCCTGACATGGCTCCACAGTGCCCTGTGATAATGGCGGGAGTTCCCCCATCACAGTCCAGCTTCTTGAGCGGGAATTCAGGTTGGTTGTACGCCTCGTTGGTCTCATGGAAATGGCCACTGTTTCGTTCTCAGTGGAGTCCACTGGTTCTAGGATTGAATTGAGACCATTTGTAGTGTTCAAAGGAATCACTAATGTAAGATGTTTATGTGGAAAAAAATACCCAGAGCAGTTTAAAACCAGGAAAAGGAAATGTAAATGGCAGCCCATATGCAGGATCGTTCTGAAATGTGTTTCCCACATGTGCCTGTCGGTTCTTAGCCGCCTCTACCTGAAGTACCATTTGTATGATGTCACATTGAAACTCCGCTTAGATTTCGTAGACATGAGTAATAAATGTTTCCTTCTGCTTACATCATCAAGACAATTAGAAATATTTCTACATTTAATATGACGCAGTATCACAAATGGCCAATATTCTCTTCACCTATGTTTTTTTTCTGCTGCAAGTTCTTTTGGAAAAATGGTTCGGGTTTGCAGGTAGTAAAAACGTGAGGCGGCCCAGCCAGAGTAGCTCAGTAGTTGAGTGTCAACCTATGAATCAGGAGGTCACGGTTTGATTCCCAGTCAGGGAATATTCCTGGATTGTGGGCTCGATCCCCAGTTTGTAGTGTGCAGGATGCAGCAAATCATTGAAGTTTCTATCTCTCTCTCTCCTTCTCCCTTCCTCTCTGAAATCAATAAAAATATGAAAACAAACAAAAAAGACACGAGGTGACGTATGTAGTGCAAGGAGCCCCAAATGTGGTGTTCCAGTTCTCTTCTGCTCACCAGCTGTGCGACTGCAGTTTTCCATATCTGTAAAATGCAGAAGGTGACATCTGTACCCTGTATCCACAGGGCTGTTGTAAGGAGTTAGTGAGAGAATGATACGAACATTATCAGTGACTATAAAACATTCCACAAATGTTGAAGGATCATTCTAAGACTGATATGAATGTGGGAATCATCAGATTGTCTTCACGTCTATGGAAGTGTTGGGACTGGAAAGTGATTTCACTTGACTTTCATGGATCAGCCTACTTTGAAATGAACACTGTTATATTCTCTTTGCCTCATTAAGACCAAATTATCTTTAATTAGCTTCACATAAGTATTAGATATTATACCAAATGAAATTTTGTGTCTGCTGCTCAGATTGCTGGGTGCTTAAATCTTACTTACAGATGAGTTGTGTGCATGTGTGTTTTCAAATTAGCAAATCGAAGATAAGTGTACAGTTCAAAATTACAGCATCAATCTAAGTGGAAGCTCATTGAAACTAGACACCGAGAAAGGCTGCTGTGACGTGGCTGGGAGAGTAAGAAAACCACCTCATACAGCCCCCCTCTCAGGAGACCTGGAATCCCTCCTGGGTTTGTTGCCTCCTGCAGTGAAAATCTAAAGGTCACTTCTCAGTCTGTCAAAATCTAACGGACATGTTTCCGACCATGCTGAATACTCCTCTCGGCCATGTTCGACCTGTTGAGAGCCTTTTTCCTTGAAGTGTTTTCTTTCTTTGGCTTCTGTGATATATTCTCTGCAATCTCTCTCTGCCACTTCCTTTCATGTCTTTTGTTAGCTCCTTGGCCTCTCTCCATCCTCTAAATGTTTCTCCAGACTTCTGACTTTGGCCCCGTGTTTCCCCCTTTGCTTCCTAGTGTCTCCTCAGCTCCAGACCCTTAGATATAAATGCTTCCAGAACTTTTCCATTTGGAGGCCCCACAGGCTTCTCAAAGTTAATGTCCAAAACATCTTATCAGCTTTGCCCTGCTCCCTCCGCCCAAAAACAACACACACAACACCACCAACAAATGTCAGCAAACATGCAACATCTTGATTCTCCTCAGGGACTACCATGGTAGCAATGGCGTGCCTCCGGCTGGCTGCTCCTTCAGTTCCACAGCCTGAATTTGGAGTCCTGCAGTTCTCTCACACCAACGAATCCAAAATTCTATTGATTCTGTGTCTTAATATATAGCCTACATCCTCAATGTGTCCACACACCCACCAAACCAACTCAGATCTGCTATTATAATAATTACATCTAATCTGGACCTTCTGTCCCCTCCTCCATTTTTTATACTGCAGTCTAAGTTACTTTTTAAAATTGTAAATCTAATCATAGAATTTTTCAGTAACTACCAATGACCAGTAGAAAAAAAAAATCCAAAAATTTAAAAATAGCCCAAAAATCTCTCCTGGATTGGGCTCTTAACTATATTCTAACCTCACTGTCACTTTCATGTTATGTGCACCTCCTCCTTCCTTTGAATGTATCATGTTCTCCTCTCCTTCTGCACATGCTAGCTTCTCCCACCTGCCCCTCCCGAGGTCCCATCTAATCTCACTCATCCTTTGGGTCTCTTCTTTAGGAAGGCCTTTGTCTGGCCTCTTGCTCAATTCTTTCATGTCTCTGAGCCACCTCATTGTCACGTGTTAACCCTAATTCTTGTTTAATGCTTGTCTATCTTTCCTGATAAACTATATGATCAGAAATATCTGTTCTTTTCCTCACTGCCTCAAGTCGCCAGTCCAAGGGACCTAGCATCTGAGTTTATATTAGTTTTCTATTTCTGCTATACCAAATTCCCACAGAGTTGTTGACAGGATTCAGTTCCTTGTGTTTGTAGGACTGAGATCATCCCTAATTCCCCCCCACACACCCTCCCCCCCCCTTTTTTTCTAGTAGATAAATGGCATTCCCTGCTTCTAAAGGCCACCTATATTTCTTGTCTTGTGCCCCCATCCTCCTTCCATCTTCAAAGCTGTCAGAGTTTGGTGGAGTCCTTCTCGCACTTTGAACCTCTCCTCCTCCTTCTTTCATCTCATCTTATTAACCCAGCTGGAAAAGATCCTCTGCTGTTAAGTACTCATGATTAGATTTTTGCCTTCCCAGATAATCCAGGATAATCTCCCTATCTCTAGTCCTGGACCCATAGTCTCCTGTGCAGATTCCCTCTTGCCAGGCCAGGCCATGTAGACACAAGTTACAGGGATTATGGTGTGGACATTATTGGAGGCCATTATTCTGTCTACTATAGAGACCATGTGTTTTTCTGCCACAGCACTTCCTCCAAAAGTCATTTCTTCTGGTTTGTGGTCTCTTTGGTACTTACTCCTTTGGTTTTGCTAGATAAAACTATTATAAGCTACCAGTGCTTAATATGTGTTTGTAATAAGAATGTTGAGTGAATGAACGTATATTACGATCTCAAACCTGATAAATTGCAAGCCACAGAAGCAAACCAAATTCCAGAAAGACAAACCACCATGAGTTGTGTCAGCAGAGAGAGCCTGAATTTTAGAGGAAATGGTTGAGAGGAATGGCTATATGGGAGGTAGGGAATTACATTGCTATCTTTTATCTAATTACTATAGATTGTGTATTAGTGTACCAGGACTCAATTACAGTCTTTTGTGTTATTTTAAAGTTGGCCACGAGAAAATAAAGTGGAAATATTTCTTTGTCCCTCAACATTCTTTTCCAGAATCATAGAAATTTAGAGCCGGCAGGGATCTATGGCCAGTTCTCTTGAGCTAAATAAAAGTTAGATTGCTGCCTAAGGGAGAGATAGGCTGAAGATTTTAGAATTTGAGTAGCTTAAATGGTAGTAGTTGAGAAATATTGCTTCAAGTGAGTGAAAGTAATAAAAGGAAGGATATTCTGTACTCTTGATTGAAAGTAGCTGAAATCCATTAATTTTCAAAATATATAATTATTAAAAAACATTTTTCATAGGATATCTGTGAGAATAGTAAGCTGTAAAATGATGTGAATTACCTTAGTGGCTGAATATTAAGCTACAAAGAACAAAAGCGGATTTTAATGTTGAAAAAATTTTGTGCATGAAATTGAGGTCATATGTGCTAGTGATGTATGACTTACAGGAAGTAATAAAAAAAAAGGGGACGGGGAGAAGAGAAGTAAAGGTATACTTTTAAACTGATGGGACCCATTTTAAGGGTGGAATTTAAATTGCCGTTCTTTAAAACCTGAGTTTTTACCCCCACTCTATAAGGGGGCGGGGGAACCTTGATCAAAGTAGACCTCTCCCTCCCCCTTCAGAATATACTTCTTAAAGTCGACAAGCAAGCTGTCTTTGTTTGCTGTTCCTGCAGAAAGTGGTGATGGATATCATTTTTATATATTTAAACTTTCCCCCACGTTTATTTGAATGAGAAAAGCCCTTGGAAAAGAATGGTGTCAGAGGTTAAATGCATCTGCCCGGGTGTTTCTCCTGCCTGAGGTCATTCTCCTATGACAACATTTTATTTGCTCAACATCTTAAATACAGATGTTTAGATTTAAAAAAAAATGCTCAGGAATAGTGTGCTTTTATTAACAGTATTGATGATTGATTTTGAATGTTTTTACTTCAAAAAGCCAAATCTCCTGGTGGGTGGAATTTTACGAAGCACCTGTTAAGCTTTAGGGAGGAGGACCTTTTTGGCCGCGACCCAAAATACATATTTAAACAATGAGCCTGCCAAAGTCAGGAAATTATAAAACAGTTTGGAAATTGCAGAATCTGCTCTTTTTTTTTTTTTTTTTTTTTTTTTTTTTTTATTACCCCTCAGGTTTCTCTTGCAGCTTGGTTATAAATTCTTTCACATGGGCCTTACTAATGTTCTTACTATTTTAAGACCAGATTTAGAAAAATTAAGTCAAGCTTGGAGATCTCAGGTTTGTATGCATAAAGACCATCAGATTATAAACGGAATTGCCTCCTCCAGAATGTGGGCGCCCACTCCCCAAAGCTTGTGGCAGAATCCAGTATGCATTGTTGAGCATTGTTGAGCGCAGCCCGGCTGGCTTCCTTGAGCGGCGTGGCCCCTCGGGGTCTCAGGTTTTCCGGCGAAGTGAGAGCTGCCAGATAGAAAGTGTGCCCCAAACAGTGTGGGGAAAAAGCTGAACACTCAGGAAAATGGGGAAACCTGCTGAGGGTATGCTTCTTGGTGAATTCCATTTGACCTTGATCGTCCAACATTCTAATTCTCAAATTTACTATTTCTCTTCCTACTTCTAGAATTTAAATTCAGAGACTCGGTGTCAAGATGGCTAGTTATCTTTTTTTATATTCCAGCAATGGGATATTCTTTGTATACTAATGTATTTTTGGGGGGGAGGGGAAGGAGGCATTTATAGTTGTATTAGTTAAGTAGCCCCAGTTTTTTGTTTAGCTACTTGTTGCTTTATGTTTTATGATTTCATTACACACATAGAGTGGGAATTGTGTGAACTTTGGCACTGCCCTCACAGTTGGGCAAACCAGAGAAAGCTAGGTAAATGATGGTTTATGAGGACAGGAGGCTCACCAGAAGGCACAGGAATCATCTAAGCATCTGTCATCTTCAAGTTCTCCATGATTATGATTATGAGAGACACATTAGTTGGTTGCCTCCACTTAATATTAAATAAAAAATATTAAAATGCTGCCCTGCTTGGATAGCTCAGTTGGTTAGAGCATTGTCCCACTATGCTAAGGTTGCAGGTTCGATCCCTAGGCAGATACAAGAATTGGTATAAAATATCCAGTTTCTCTTAGGGAAAGTGTTTGTACAGTCACACGGTTACATACAGGGGTAAAAAGCAGAAAAACAAAGTATAATTTGGATTCTTTGACATTTTTGTATTTTCAGGTTCTTAGGGAGCTTTAGTTGGCATCATCACTATATTAAATATCAGGGAATGGGAGTTTAAAAACATCTCAGGCACCATTCCCATAAAGCAATTTACTTTTTATTCTTATAGGACACCCATCCTGTTTGAAATTTTGTCCCGAACTAACAACAAATGTAAAGGCCTTAAGGTGGCAGTGCATCGAATGCAAGACGTGCAGTGCGTGTAGAATCCAAGGCAAAAATGCAGTAAGTACTGCTCTCCAAGCTCCGTCTCCAGGAAACATGTCAGTTTTCAGTGTTTGGGTTCTTATTTTCTGTAGACTGTTGCTATATTCCTTTAAATAAACAGATGTCAGGCTTCAGCATTGATCACGAAGCTCCTTTATTATATTTTATGACTGTTAATTGGATAACATAAGAATTTGTGGCCTTTTACAGTTGTTTTCAGTCTCAATTAGTCTCTAATATGTTACATTGCAGGATAATATGCTTTTTTGTGACTCCTGTGATAGAGGATTCCATATGGAGTGCTGTGACCCCCCACTTTCCAGAATGCCAAAAGGTGAGTTTTTAAACCATATTTAAGATGTGTTTTATTACATGCTCATTAGCCTTGTCCTGCTGTCTGACAGCTCAGAGGTTTACAGGTTCCTTAAGCATTTTTTCATCTCCCATCTTCCTGTACTTAGGGGTTTGGCACAGATTACGACCAGAGGAGCATAACAGCATTTAGTTTGAGGCTAATGTGTATAATAAAGACTCTAATTCAGATACAGGGATAAGAAGACTATTCCTCTCCTGAAGCTCTTCCTTTACTAGAATAATTTTAGATTAGGTAGGTCACAAGTTTCAAACACTCTCCCTATTATTCAGTACAATATTCAGAGGCAAGAAATTACCTATTTTTGAGATGATGGTGATAATGATGACTCAAAGATCCTGCAACAGGAGCCATCACCATTTTCTTGGCCATTAGTTGATAATTTTGAACAGGAGCATCTGAACTTTTATATGGGGTAAGGTTTTCCATCTCTATTTATTGTATAAGTAAAGCCTCGCTTAGTATCTTTTTTCTCATTTTTATATGTTAAACATTAAAATAACTTTGCCTTATTACAAAATTTGTACATTTTCATTGTGAAAGATTTAGAAAACACAGGTTGATAAAAAGATATCAATTAGAAATTCCTTCTTGCCCCACATACCTTTTAAAAAGAAATGGAACATTCTATATATGATTTGTAACTTTGTGTTTTCCCACCTTAACAATAGATCCTAGCATTCCCACATCATTAAATGTTCTCCTAACATAGTTTTTAACAAGTTTGTAGAACTCCATAATATAGCTGAGGCTACAGACCTGGTGATTGTAGGCCACAGATACGCTTTGTTGGCTATATATAAATCTGTATAAATATTTACAACTTCTCTAAATGCATTACAGAAGAACTGCTACAATATTTAAAAAAAAAATTTTTAATTTGAGTTCTTTAGGTAGAGTATGCATGCTCCAATTTACCCCAGTCTGACTATTCCCTGTGTTACATTCCATCTTGCTTTAGTCACATATATTATACCTGGGTGGTTCCTGAACATACTTGATTTTGCAACCCCTTGTATAAGAAAACCCATAACTTATTTAATCAGTCCCCTATGGAGGACATTACAAATGTTTCCAATTTTTTCCATCCACAATTATTGCCTTAAGATAAATTCCTAGGGGAGGAATTGCTGGATCAAAGGCTATATACATGAAAGGTTGTATCGGTTTTCAGACCAACCACCAATGTCTGAGAATACCTGCTTCCCTGTATGATAACCAGCACTCACCATTGCTTTATGACATTGATCTGAGGCACACTTTAAAAAACAAACAAACATTTTAACGTCTTTGAAATCAGATGCATCTTTTAGCCAGCCAATGAAATGCAGTGTCCTTATTTTAAATTTTTACCAATTTGATAAAAGAAAAAAAGATGTCTGATAATTGTTTTCTTTAAGTAGTTAGATCAGACATTTTTTGTGTGCTCGATTATTGGCTGTTTGTATATAATCTTTGTAAAGTGCCTGTTTTGTCCATTAATCAGTTTCTATTGGGGTTTTTACCTTTTTTTTTTCTTCCTGATTTGCAGAAGCTCATATTTTTATGCAGTTAAATCCATGAGTCTTTTATGGCTTCAGTCTTAAATGTCAGTAATGCTTAGATTATACAAATATCCACAGATTTTTCCTGGTGCTTTTAATATTTCATTTTGTCATATTGTAATATTTACCTGCCTAGAATATATTTTTGTAAAGGATAGGAAATTTTTTTCCTACCTAGATAGATAGCTGTTTGTTCCATTACCACGTATTGAGTCCTTTTATCTGATAATTTGCCACTGATTTGAAATAAAACGTGTTGGATATGCTAAACTTTTCTCTAGCTTTCAGTATTATGGCTTTTCAATTCTTATCCTTGACCTAGTTCCCTATGCCAGGTGAATAGTTTTAATAATTGTAGCTCCATAATGCTTAAACATTTTAAGTTTTAATTTAAAAATTATATTTTATACTGCTAGTTTTTTTAGTGTGGAAAATTTCCAGAAAGAAATGATAAAATAAATATTTTTGTCCAGATGTTCCAAAAACTGATTGTCTTAAAATGTCTTCCTCAAATCAAAAGACATATAGTATCTGACAGGCTCAGGTTGTCTCGTGTGTTTATGTGGATGAGGGAGGCATGGTGACATATTGGAAAGCCTTCTGGAGAGGCTCTGAGACGGGGCTGCCCTCTGCTCTCACCACTTTGACGGGGAAATTGACCTTTAACAGTGGCTTCTGGGAGGAATGGAATGAGCCACCTTTCGGAGTCACGTTCTGCGCGCAGGCCTCCTTACAGCGCAGTTTATCTTTGGTGTCTCTCCTAAAATGAAACATTAAAATATTTTTCTCATATATGTATTAATTCAGGGATGTGGATTTGCCAAGTCTGCAGACCAAAGAAAAAGGGAAGAAAACTACTTCATGAGAAAGCTGCACAAATAAAACGTCGATATGCAAAACCCATTGGACGACCGAAAAATAAATTAAAGCAACGATTGTTGTAGGTTGAGATCTTATCAAACAAGAAATCTTTTATGTTGTGCTTTAAAATATAGGTGATTATAACCCCCATAGGTTCCATTAACTTTTTGCCATCATTTTTACAAACTCAAGGGACGGGGACTATTTCTCCTTTTATATAAGCTGTGGAAATTTTTTGAAAATAACGTTTTTAATTACAGTTGGCATTTTGGGGTCTTCTGTTGGCAGAATCTGTGATGCTAAGTGACATTTTTCAAGCAGCAGGATGGAAGCAGAATGTCAGCACAGGAAACAGTCATTCGGCCTACTTTGTTACTGGCTGAGCATTAGAAGACCTTAATTATACAATAGTTATGTGGGAATTTTAAAACGAGAGGGATTTGTCTCTAGTGAATCTATTTTGTCGCTCCAGATAACATTTTAGAAAAATACTTATTTTTTTCTGGTGCTAATTTAGTATTGTAACATCTTTATGAGATATGGCCACCTGAGAAACCTGCAAGTGAAGTGACTATCTTCATGTTTGCCTCCAAAGAGTTAAACAGGACTATTTGGTATGTGCATATGTGTGCAGGCCCATAGTACATACAGAGTAGCAATTCGCCGTGGCCTCCAGCTCTACTATGATAAACCCATTTCTGCTACCTTTGCCACAAGGTTGCATTAAAGCTCAGTAGAACATTTGCAGGAGTTACTTGGAAAAGTAGAGAAAAGATAAGAAGTGAAATGCATGTAGTTTTTAAAACCTGTATAGAGTAGGGATTTGACTATGAGTATTAAGTAAGGTGTTTAGAAATGAAATCAGCAGACTTTCATTAATAGAACTGCATATCTGAAGCAGTTCTATTAATAGGACCATTGTCCAGTTTCTGAAAGGGTCACTGTGATATAAAAAATGAGTAAATGCTCTCTCCACACACCCTGAACAAACACCAAGTGTCTGACTTGGTTGCTCTTTTTGCCTAGTTTTATCTGAAGCAATTCACTTTTGCTTTCAGAAAAAGTGTCCTGCACCTGTGTCCATCCCTCAAAGGAGAAATAGGATGTGTGTGATCTTTTTCTAGAGTTTTCTGTGACTCTTTATGAAAACCCTTTAACTGGTTGACATTTTTAAATGGAATTTTTGTTAATTTCTGGAGGCAAACATAAAAATAAAAATAAAATCTTTCATATTAGCATCAGTTGAAGTAGAAATTATATGTTTTTGCATTCATCCTGTGTAAGCATTGTTCTTGAAACGGGACTGTATCCTCAGGGTCCAATTAAAAAAACCAAATGAGGATATAAACTTTCTAAACAAAGGACGCAGCTGAAAATTGCATCTGGCACCAATCCTAACTTTTTGTTTGTCCAAAATTGTCCTTTGAGCTTAGGAATTTTTAAGACAGTCTAGGGAGTTTTCCTTTGTACATGCTTTATAAGCATATTATCCTTTCTGGGCAATCGATTCCAGATACAGTCCAAATGCACGTTCTAATGCGAAACGTTGAGCCTGGATGAGTTGTTTATTGGTAGCCCTCACCGTGACACTGGAGATCTCCAGCCTTAAACAGATTTGGCCAAATAGGTGGCGCCAGGCACCAGCGGGGGTGGGTGAGCCGCCCTCGGTGAGCTCGCGGCTGCCCCGTTGGTCTGCACCAGCTCCCCTTCTGCTGACTGCTGAAATGGTTCATCATGTCTCCATGTACAAAATTACCCCCCAAATGTGGTCTTCTACTTGTGATTACTTAAACTATTTTTGTAATTCTATATCATACCATTTTCAGGCTTCCATTTCTTCATTATTATCCTTCAGCTAAATTGATAATTTTTAAAGTGCATTCTTGGGCCCCAGCGCAGCCATAATTCACATGCAAATGTTTCCATTGTACGAGATTCTGCTGTAAAATGGGTAGCTTTCCAAGCCCTGACCTGAGGTGAAGGTAGGCAGCTGCCCTTCCTGTGTGCAGCTGTGTTACGTAGTGACCTCCAGTCTCTGTTGACCACACGGCTGTACAGGCAAAACCACCAAATGAACTGCCATAGCAGTCAGAACCGTGTACAGAGATTCTGATGCCACGTGTCTGATAATGGCCATGGTAAATGTGCTGCTGCTTCACCAGACTTTCCATGTCATGTCTGACCCGCTGTAGCTTTTCTTTAATCATTTCTTCGGTTTTTTGCTACTGTTGTCATTTTTTCAGCAATATTTTATGCTGTAATTAATTGTCTCCTTTACTTAGAGAGTATTATTGGTTATCTTGTCATCCTCAGCATAAACGGCTGAGAGGACAAGGGTATCTCTGAGTGTTTGCTTTAAAAAACAAACAAAAAGTCAAACAAAAACCTACTAATTTATAGACATAACCCAAATTCTATTTATATAAATTTTCCATTTGAGTTAAAATTGCTTCTAACTAGAAATTAGATAAGCTTATTCTTTTGCTTCTCGATACTATGACTTACTTCCTTTAATATTTTTGAAAAGACATATCAGGAAATCATAATTACTTGGTGGCAACACAAGAGTAACATTTTAGTTTAATTATAATGAAAGCATTGGGTTTTCTTACTTCTATTGATTGCCCTTGGGTGCATGTGGATTCTTCCGGCACCTGTTGGATGGGCCCTCAGAGAATCGTGACACACAGGTGTGGTTGCTACTGACTTTCAACAGAGAGACATCTAGGTGAAGGCACACACATCCAAACAGTCCTTAGGGTTGCAATGCAGCTTCTGAAGTTTAAGCACATGAAGTGCAACTAGTTGCTATAAATTTGTTTTAGATACCTTTATCATTCTATTATTAAATGCTGATACTATTCTCTAAATTTTTGCCTAGGTCTGTAACCAGTGATGAAGGATCCATGAATGCATTCACAGGAAGGGGGTCACCTGGTAGGGGTCAAAAGACTAAAGTCTGTACCACACCTTCATCTGGTCATGCTGCATCTGGGAAGGACTCAAGCAGCAGATTGGCTGTCACAGACCCCACTCGGCCTGGTGCCACCACCAAAATCACCACCACCTCCACCTACATTTCTGCCTCTACACTTAAAGTTAACAAGAAAACCAAAGGGCTCATTGATGGCCTTACTAAGTTTTTTACACCATCACCTGATGGTCGCAGATCACGAGGTGAAATAATAGACTTTTCAAAGCACTATCGTCCAAGGAAAAAGGTCTCTCAGAAACAGTCATGCACTTCTCATGTGTTGGCTACAGGTACCACACAAAAGCTAAAACCTCCACCTTCTTCACTTCCACCCCGAGCCCCCATCTCTGGTCAGAGCCCCAGTTCACAAAAGTCCAGCACGTCCACCTCTTCTACCTCTCCCCAGAGCTCTTCCAGCCAGTCCAGTGTGCCCTCCCTGAGCAGTCTCACTAGTAACAGCCAGCTGAAGGCACTCTTTGATGGACTCTCTCATATCTATACCACTCAGGGACAGTCTCGAAAGAAGGGACACCCAAGTTATGCACCGCCCCAGCGCATGCGTCGTAAAACTGAATTCTCTTCCACAGCAAAGTCTAAAGCCCATTTCTTTGGAAAAAGAGATATTAGAAGTAGGTTTATGGCTCACTCCTCCTCCTCTAGCTGGGGGATGGCTAGAGGACGTATTTTTAAAGCAATTGCTCACTTCAAGCGAACAACTTTCCTTAAAAAGCACAGGATGCTAGGCAGGTTAAAATATAAAGTGACCCCTCAGATGGGGACCCCCTCACCAGGGAAGGGGAGCTTGACAGACGGAAGGATTAAACCTGATCAGGATGATGGTAAGCAAAAGGTCAAAGCTCCAACCAAACCTGCGTCCCGCCCCTTTCTCCCCCCCAACCCCCCAAAAATCAACCAATCAACTCCTATTTGTCACATAGGCCTCAGCTATTTTCTCTTGTTCTCACTTCACTTTCATACAGAAACAGTGAAACTCTGACCTTTTTTTCTAATGCTGACTAAACCTCCAAAATGTTGTGTTTTTTTTCCAACTAATACTCTCCCACCTTTTATTATTTATTTCCATTCGTAGTGACACTAGGACCCCCCCAGATGCCTTCATAGCGTTGCTTATGGCTGTGTAGTCCCGCATGAGTAGCCACTGTCACGCTTCCGCCATGTCCTTTCCCGCGCGGCCTCTGCAGCCACAGTGCTGTTCGGCCGCACGCTGTCAGCGCCTTCAATGGGGTTTTCGGCTCCCCGCCCCCCTCCACTCCATTGCTTTCTCATGACCGAGTTCATCCTGCTTCCTTCTCAACCAACTGACCTGTGGTTCTGTGAGCTGTGCTTTTGGGTGTGAGTGTGTCTGTGTGTGTATTCACCTTAGGGAGAAAACCGATTTCAGAATTTCATTGGACAAATTTGGCCCGTTCCATGTGCTACCCTTTATAAAACAAAAAGCCAAAAAAAAAAAAAAATGTGTCATTTGGACAAAGTGGTAGATTTTTGCTGTCTCAAAAGTGGTAATGGGACTTCTCTAACTAGACTTCTAATCTTGGTTGGAAAATGTGATTATGTTTTGTGTTGCTCTGACTTTCCCTCATTTACGTATTGAAGCTATGACAGTGATTATTCAAATAAAAACTGGGGTACAGCAGGGAAAGGGTACTGCCGGATCTTTGAGCAGTGCTTAGCTGTAAACGTTTATAAAGCTTTACCGAAAATCCCTATTTGCCCACTATGCTAATTTGGTACCGTTTTGGTAATATACGGTGGTCACTAGTGATTCCAGTCGGTGAAGACACTTTCTGCTGGTTTTAAATGACAGATACTGAAATCAAAATAAGCATCAAACAAGAAAGTACAGATATAAGTGTGATTGGAAACAAGGAAACTGTCACCGAAGAGGACGTGGATGTGTTTAAGCAGGCCCAGGAGCTCTCTTGGGAGGTAAGGCCCGGCTACCGTTATCGCCGGGCGATATGTGACTTCTTACTTTATGATTGTTATGAAATGCAGCTTTGATTTTATAGAATCTCCTCCTCAAAGTCCTCTGTGGTTCTTTTAACTGTGACCATGATTGTTTTTGTTGCCTGTCCATTCAGAAGCAATGACGTTGTGGAGGTATTCCACTCTTAAAGGTTAGCAATGCTCAGCTGGTCTCACAGAATAGACCAGAGTAGCAGTGGCTGAGTCCTATTTTGAAAACACCTAGTTGTGAAGGAATAGAATTCTATTTGTTTTTCTCCTCAAATATAGAAGATAGCAATTTTAAATCATTAACAAAAAAGGAAGAACATTGCTTTTAAGTTTACCAATGCTGCTGCCAACACAGATGGCCAGCCATATGAAAAATGTCTCCCACCTTAACTCTTTGGCATGGATAAAGGCAATATTGAGTTGTATGATCAGTCATAGTCACTTTTCTTTTCATTGTCCAGGAATTTTTTTTATATGATTCCACTTAAAATGTTAACTCTACTTAGCTTATTGTCACCAAAACATTGGAAGGTAAGGCTATTGGACTTCTCAAAGACAAATTCTGTCTGGATTGTGACTTTTTTATGTCAGTAGACCACATTCCATTGGCACAATACTCACGGATAAGCTCCCTGCCCCACCTCACTTCCTTTTTAAGGGGAAGGAGGCCATGTATAGGCTCTTAAACTTGATTTTCAGTAGCAGTCATTTGAGCTAAATACTTTGGTGGTTTCTACTTCAGGGGCTGTTGGATATTTCCATTCATCATTCTGCCCCAGCAGTATGCTTTGTGTTGTTTTTCCTTTGGCTAAGATAAATGTCAAAATTTCCCCCAATCTTTGAAATTTCTAGTCCTTAAATATTACAATTTCTTTAGCCTATTTCTGGCATTCATAGATAAATGGAATGAAAGCAGGCATTGTCCGAAAGATACTGTTAAGTCTAAAGACCTTTCTATCCAACGTGCTAACACTGGCTTTTTCTTTTAAGAACATTTCTTGTCTGTGCCAGGCACTGTGCTGGACACTGAGAATGTCACAGTGAATCTGGCAGACGATGCTCTTAACCTTGTGTAGTCTACTGCACAGGAGTAAGGGGAGTAGGAGGATACTTCACCATTGATTACTTAATTATAATTGGGATAAATATTACCTTGTGGAAGAATGGGGACTGAAGAATATAGCCTCATCATCTTTTAATTTCTTCAGTTTCAATACATTGCAACAGATCATTGAATTCAGTTCAATAAACATTTGTATTTACATCATGTGCATCCTATCTTGGTGGTACTTTTTTTAAAGTATTAGTTTGTTTATATATAAACCTTATACAAAGTTGATTATTATTTCAAGGCCTATAATGTTTTTTTCAACAACATGAAAATTCACAATTAAGATTAGGGTTCTGGTCTTGATAGGTTTTCATATCCACCAGTGAAAGAGCCAAGATGTAAGTGAAGAAATCCCTTTCTAATACTAATATTTTCTTTTCTTTCTCTCTGACAGAAAATAGAGTGTGAGAGTGGAGTGGAAGACTGTGGCCGGTACCCTTCTGTAATAGAATTTGGGAAATATGAAATCCAGACCTGGTACTCTTCACCTTACCCACAGGAATATGCAAGGTAATGGAATAAGCCTGCAGGTATATAACTTTAATGTCATATGTGTGAGGGAGAAAAAAAATCTTGATTCTAAAGCAGGAATATATTATTTTCAGGACATACATTTTGATGATAGATTTTAAGTGCTTCCAAAACTATTCCTTTGGCCAGTATTTTTTTATAGTACTTAATGTCCTATTTAAGCCCCTAACACTCCTTAGTTACACAGGCATCATAAATTTTGCCTTTTAGCTTCTAGATCATGCTTTTTCTCTTTGGTTAATTGTGACTAACTTGTTAAAAGTGAAGAGAAAATAATAGTACTTGAGATTTCATTTGTCTTGAATTAAGATTAACTGAGATTGTCTTGAACTAATACATTTTAAAATGGGTATCTTGTGGGCAGATATCTTCCTTCAGGTGTATCAGGGTACGCTTTATTAGTATCTTCTCAACCTTTTTAGCCTGCAAAGTGTCTGGTTAATCACACACTGGCTTATCGTCTACAATCAACATTGTCCTTTTCTCTACCATGTGGGTGTCTGGCCAGTCATGTAATTGGAGAGGATGGGGAGGGTTCTAGAAGTTGAGTAGCAAACTGTCAGGAGTCTTGGTTTCTCTTCCCAGGTTATATCAAGTTGGCTCTTTGTTCTTAAACAATTTTTTAAAAACACCAATGAGCTTTAATTTGTATGGTAATCATAAGTCATGTGTTCTGAGAACTTTGAATAAAATTTGCATATAAGTCCAAGATTTGAAATTACTATTATCTGAGTCTGTATCTAACTCTCCTCAAAATATTTCTCACCTTTCTTTTTTTTTATTAATTTATTTTTTTAATGAATGAATGAATTTGGGTGTGTTGTTGTTTTGTTGTTGTTGTTGTTTTGTGTGTGTGTGTGTGTGTGTGTGTGTTTATTTTATTTAATTTCAGGGAGAAAAGGAGAGAGAGAGAGAGAGAGAGAGAGAGAGAGAGAGAGAGAGAGAGAGAGAGGAGGACGATGATAGAGAATCATTGACTAACTGCCTCCTGTATGCCCCCCACTGGGGATCGAGCTCACAACCCGGGCATATGCCCCAAACCATGACCTCTTGGTTCTTAGTTTGACAACACTGAGCCTTGCTGGCTAGGCAGTTTATTTTTTATTGTTGACAGTATTAGAGATGTCCCCTACTACTCCCCCCCACCTTAGCCCCTTCCACCCAACCCTGCCCTACCCTAATCTCCCCAATTCTTATACCCCAAAGACCTTGAAAATGCTGTGAGCATTTGTTATGTAAATGCTAGCAGCACCCATTTAAGTGTGATAGGGTACAATAAAATAAGGTGGAGAAAAAGGCAGCAGGGAAGAGGAAGCTATTTGTCTAGTGTTACTCAAAAGTGGAATTGGTAGAAACAAACCAGATCCTTGGACTTTCTTACATTTAGTGCTTTAGACCATATGTAACCATGATACTAACTTTAAAGTCATCTGACCCATAAGTACAAGAGAAAACAATTATATTCTCGGCTCTTCTGCCATAAAAGTATGCAGATTATTTTTTAAAATAATGAATTTACTTCTGAGTAAATGATTCTTTTAATTATACCACTGACCACATATACTATTGGAGCTATGACATTAAATGAAATTTGAAAAATATACATGGTTACATGACAGGATGCTATTCTATAGTTGGTTTTTAGAACAGTGGTTCCTGTTCTGAAAACCTTTCTTTCTTCAGGGCATTTCTAAGAAAAGACATGATTTATTCATAGAATAAGGCAACAAATATTATGTTGAAAAGTAATGTAAGGTTTGTCAGTTCTCTCTACTATAGGCTTGTGTTTTTTTTTTTTTGCTTTTTTTAACTACTTTTTTGAAATGCTATTATACAACCTTGATATGATTTAGAGACCATTGAACAGTATTTAATATTTCCCCCTTAATAGTATAATCAATCTGAAAGATTCTTTGATTTTAAAATTTTAACAGGTTACCAAAGCTTTACCTGTGTGAGTTCTGTCTTAAATATATGAAAAGTAAAAACATTTTGTTAAGACACTCCAAGAAATGTGGATGGTTTCATCCTCCAGCAAATGAAATTTACCGAAGGAAAGACCTTTCAGTATTCGAGGTAAGCGCGTGTAAATAAAACACTCAGCTTTTGAAACTTAGTATTTCCAGTCGTCCACTATGTGTTGAATTGTTTGTTGACGGTGTAAAGTCTACTCAATCTTGGCATTGAAATTCAGACTGCTCTTCAAAATATCTCCATGTTTTGGAATGTTTATCAGACCATATTAAGCAACCATTTAGATTGATAATGAATTCCTACTTCATCATATTAACTTTTTGTCTTGCCCCAAGTCCCTGTCCGCACCAGAAATGTTCACCAGTGAATTTATGATCTCCTCGGCTCTCTGTAAATGCTCCTTCCTCTGGCAGGAGACATGAGCTTTGTTCGGCAGCTCCAGCCAGTGTCTGGCAGGTGCTCCCCCTTCCAGGGAATTGAGCAGCTGTCCATATCTCCTCGGCGCACAGCCACCTGTGTTTCCATCCGTTTCTTGGCAGAGCTGATAATCCTCTTGGTGAGCCCCCGGCAGATGTTGGGGCTCCCCCCCATCTGGGAGGATGACCACCCCTGGAGAACTCTGCAATTCACAGGAACCCCTTGTGGCTCTGTCTGTCATTGTGGATTCTCGCAGATATTTTGTGTTTTCCGAATTGATTTAGTAGCAAAAGGCCTTTGCCTCTATATCATTTCATTGTTCATTCATGTTTCTACCGTCAGTTTCAGGGATCCGGTTTAGCCGAGGCAGCTGTACCTTGAGGAAACCATGCCTTCTTTTTCGTGTTACTGCCTTTTCACAGGATTTCTTTCTGTCCTTTATTCTCCCCTTCCACTGCCCTGCCTTATTTTCTTCTCTGTTATCCACTTTGGTGCATTATTTTTCATTCCTGGGTACTCAGTAGATGTGATATTTTCTCTCTGAAATACAGTTTTACTTTGGATTCTTTTTTTCTGAATTGTTCAAAGTGGAATGTATTGTTCCACCCCACATTTCTCTTGAGCTCTGGTCTGTAATGTCTCCCGTTGTATCTGACACAGGGAGGGTCATACGTAGGTTTCTGGCAGGGGTCAGTCGTCCCCTCTCAGACTAGTGGGGCCCACTGCTTTTTCCCAGGGCTGATCAGAGAACACCGGTGACTGCAGCTGTGTCTCAGGAATTTTTAAAGCCCCTCTCCCTGGGTATATCAGGCTCTCTCTTGGCAAGCTTGACGGAAGAAGGGTCATGTTGCTGGGAAGATTGGATGTTAGTTCTTACTAAGGGCAGGCACAGGGTTTCTCTACCTGGGCACCGTTCACATTTCGAGCTGGATATTCTTTGTTGCAAGAGGTTGTCCTGTGCATTGTAGGACATTTAGCAGTAGGATGTTGGCCTCTACCAACTAAACGCCAGTAAGACCACCATCCCTCCTGTTGTAACAACCAAAAATGCTTCCGGGTGTAACCCATGTCCTGGGGGGACAGGGGGGCAAAGTCACACCCAGAGAGAGAGCTGAATGCAAGTTCTTGTCCTTCCTGCTGTTAGTCTTGAGATGTGACCCAGCAGGCCCCAGCCAGATTCAGGCAGCAGAGCTGTCCGCACTTGAGGCTTAGCGAATGTCACAAGTTCAACTTTCCTTTTGGCTCCTTCCTCGGTGCCTTGTTCCTTTCTTTTAACCAAAATAAAATGAAATCACCGTCTCACTGCTTCCAGAAGGACAGAACACGTTGTGGCTTTTAAGTAATTGTTAAATAAATCAGCATGAATCCGCCTGTGGGGCTGAAGCTTTCGTAAATCCAGGGGTTTCCTTAAGGATGAGAGAGTCAGTGTTTCTAGTTGTTAGGCTGGTGAGAGCGGTCTGCTCTCTCAGGGCAGATGCTTTGGGACCACACAGAGATGAGAGGGGGGAAGTCAGAAGCAGATTTTTAAAATTTATTCATAAAAATAATTGAAAAAAATTGGATTGGATAAGACCAAGGTCCCTATTCTAGAATCTAAGTTAATACTTAGAGTACAGCATGCCGGAAATTTCTCTGAGCAGTTTCCTAAGTATCTTGAGGAAATAAAGAATAATCACAGATTACCACTTGCCTGTCCTCTTTACCACTCTTGAGAGCAGGCCACGTCAGACCTTTCGCATCTGGTAAGATTTGGCTTCGGCATTGTCATCTCTGTTTTTCTGGTTCACAGCTACATCTTTGTCCTTTTTGTAATGTACTACCATTTCCAACAGGACTACATTCCCAAATACATAAAAACTTACTTTAATTAAAGAGAGAATTGTAGCCTCTGTACCCGGTGCCCATATTTGATTATGTTGCTATGTGTGGGACCTAGGTTTCATCCAAGGGAAATAGTTATATGAAGTCTAAAAATAATTTGTGCAATATGAGAACCTGTATGGTCCACAGGAGACTCAAGAACAGTGAAGTTCATTGTTAAAGAGCTCTGGTTAGCAAATATCCATTTCCCCTAAGAGAAGTGCTGGGGAAATTTTTCTTGAATCTGCTGTGATTTCTGTTTTCAACAAGTAACTACATTTGATCAAAGAAATTGGCATCTGTGCTTAGCCTCCTGTCTATAGCCATCAGTATCACAGCTTGATTCTTTTTATTTTGAAGGGAAATAGACTGTAATCATTGTACTTATTGTAGGTTGAAATTCATCTCACTTTCTCTGTAAGTATTCCCAACATAGAAATTTTATCTTTTCCAATTATATTTAAAATGATGCTTGGGATAAAACCAAAATGGAAGCCTCTTTTGCTAATCCTCACTTCTGAAGAATCAGAGTAATATAGCTCATTTATTTTATTTTTATGTGAAGCCCTTTTGTAAACAACATAAAGTGTAACTTACTTGAACAGTATTTTGATCTGTTTACATTTCTTCAGTTCAGGTTTACATGGATCAAACAGAGAAGACATGCCTGATCATTTTTTACTCGTAATAAATTGCAAATAAAAAGTACTCCTTTGTTAGTAGTTTGGCCTTTCTTCAGGTAACTTAAAGAGAAATTGAAGCTATCTTATGCCCCAATTTCAGAGAAAAGGTGGAATTCTGTTTTGCCAAGGGACACCTATTTTCTGTTTAACTTTATACTTATTTAATGGAGTGTTTTAATCTCTCCATTTGGGGATTTGGAAATAAAACAATGTACTTTCCAAACACCATATAAAAGGAACAATTTTATTTTATATTGAGTGGTATTTTTATGATAAATAATGTTGTCTGTTTCTCTTTGCTAGGTTGATGGGAATATGAGCAAAATTTATTGCCAAAACCTTTGCTTGTTAGCCAAGCTCTTCCTGGACCACAAAACGTTGTATTATGATGTCGAGCCATTCCTTTTTTATGTTCTTACAAAAAATGATGAAAAGGGCTGTCATCTGGTTGGATACTTCTCTAAGGTAAAACAAGAGCCAGTGTGACCTTTATTTTCCTTTTCAGAATGTTTTTGGTAGAGCCCAGTTCTTTGAACAGGGCTTTTTTATCACTATAATTTGAATAAGTGACACATGTTTCTGAAAAGCTCAGGTTCTTGTTCACAGCTCATTTAAAAAACAACAAAAACAATCACCACCATGCCTAGGACGTGTGTAAAGGACCTCAGCCCTGCTTGCTGTCTTGATTTTCAGCATCCACGAAACGTCATAATTGCAGCTGCAGACCACCTCGCATCTTTGATTTTCTGAATGTTAAGCTTATTTTCTTTTTCCCTCTAAGTGGTGTCAATATGAAGATTTCAGTGTAATTAATGCAGCATTTAAGAGATAATTCCCATCCCTTTTCATTGCATTCCCTCTGTGGTTATCAGTATCTCTGAATGGGAACATTGGCATTTGGACAGCCAAGCTGATGCAATGACTGGTGGCACTCTTTCATCTCTTGTTCTCCGTGCTATTGTCTTAAGATCTAAAACACTATCGCCTTTAAAAGGCCAGAGTATCTCCAGTTGTTAACATAGGGAAGCCTTGCTGTATTGAGCGGATGTCATTTGTCTTTTTCACTCATTCAGAATGATTTTCTCACATCCTTCGGCTCAAAGGCTTCTGAGAAACAGCTCATATACAATGAAGGAAAACTGAGTTTGGGGATACTTACCAGGCACTGGCCTGAACTATCCTTAGGCACTTCTAAAATAATTTAATGTGCCAGGATGGTAATATGAGGCTTCCAGGCAGAAGGTATAAATGATCAAGACCTTGTGTGTGTTTTTTTTTTTTTCTTCTTCTTCTTTATGATATATTTTTTCATATTAGGTGATAAGTGAACTTACATAATATGAGTGGAATGCTTTATAGAAATGTTATTTTCAAGGAAGATCAAAAGATAGAATATATATCGAGGTCCTTTACAAACTGTAGTTTTTCTAAATTTAAGAATCAGTATAAAGACCATAAACAGAAATGCTAGTAAATGATAGCACTCATGGGAAACTGCCTCGATGTCTTAATCCACATATTTAGTAAAGCTCTCAAATGAAAAAGAAGGAAGTTTATTTGTGCATTACAGATTCAAAAGATGACAGAATCAGCCCAGAACTTTAAATAGGAAATCTATTTATATAATTTCTAAAACATCCTATCTTTTTCTCTGAAAATTTAAAAAGAATAGAGGAGAGGATTGTCCTTCCTATAGATTAGAACATGGTACACTTTCAGTGTATCTGTTTAAACGTAGATGCTTAATGTTGCCTGTTGCCCCTGCCCTGCCTCTGGGTCCACAGTTGGTGGTGACTCTTATTGTTTGAGTCTCTGCCTCTTCCTCCAAGGCCCCATGTTTTGCTCAGAACAAACTAAACTTTTCTCATTTTGTCACAGTTTCTGTTATAGCATAGCAGCAACTACTGTCATTTCTTACCATCTTAAGAATACTGGTATTTTTGGCAGTGTGACAGAAATTCATCTAAAATAACCATGTTGCAGGTGCCTCGTTAGCGCAGTAGGTAGCGCGTCAGTCTCATAAAATAACCATGTTGCCTGGCCAGTGTGGCTCAATGGTTGAGCATCGGCCCATGAACCAGGAGGTCACGGTTGGATTCCTGGTCAGGGCACATACCCTGATTGCAGGCTTGATCCCCAGTAGGAGGCATACAGGAGGCAGCCGATCAATGATTCTCTCTCATCATTGATGTTTCTATCTCTCCCTCCCTTTCTCTGAAACTTAAAAGACTAGCTACAAATCAAATCGTACTCTAGTGTGTCAACTGGAATGTGAAGGACTATGGCCCTTTGGAGTTGTACTTAAACCAAATGCCAGAGGGTATAGCCATAGAATGACCAAGATGACCTAGCAAAGTTCAGTGTAAATTATTACATGCATGTGACTATCCAAGCACATAATAGATTACTCTAAACAAGAGAGAACGGATGTGCAGTTATATTATCTTAAGATTAGGATTTAGGTGTACTAACATGTTTTGGAGTGTGGGATTATCCTTGAGTTGGATTTCAAGAAGTCTGCCAAGAATAGGAAGGAATCTTCAGCATAAAGAGAAGAATGACATCAAGGGTGAATTCTTTTAAGCCAGTGTACATCTCTTTTTAGATGGAGTGACCCATTTGTCTAACTTTGCAAAATAGACTAATTATTTGAACCTTTGCCATTGATGTTCACATTCAGAGATGGACAATCCCGCTTCCCAGGAAAACGGACACATATTATTTCTTCCTCCTCATTTCTTAGGCTCCACAGATAGCTCCAAATGTGCAAAAGTTGGAAGCACATCTCTTTCACAAAGAAAACTTTAATTCTGCCCTGTAGGGGTTTTTCCACAACCATTTCCTGTGATCTTTCAAACAGGTTCATTAAAGATCTGGGTGTTCTGAGGCAATTCTTTGATGTGGTTGGTGCCATTTGTGGTCAATCTTATTTGCGGCTTATATTTGGCCAGAGCATTCACAACCTCAAAAGCCTTTTCCAGATCTTCTCTGTGTAGGTTTCTGGCGGCTTCTGTGTACTCTGCATAAAATGCTGCCACTCCAATGCCACTTCCCACGAAGCTGCAAAGTCTCCCTCAGCTGTAAGAACATGCTCTCCCAGCCTTGCTCCTGGTTTCGGGCTGCTGGTAATACATTGGCCTCATTTTGTTTGGAGGCTTTGGCCTTTTTGCCACTACCGCTTTTGTTTTGTATTTCTGGCTTGAAATGCAGATTAATTATTTCTCCAACTTTTTCCTTTGACTTTTTACTCAAAGGAGAAATGTATTGGTGCAAACCTACCCACACACATACTATTTTAGTTTCCCTGGGGCATTTGCTCAGAGGCATAAGACATATTGCTGTTGTGGCGCGGTACATTATTTAGCAAGGTGGCTGGCTGAGTCCTCACTGACAGCGCCGGGTGACTCTTCCAAGTTGTGTTGAGCAAGGAAAGCATTTCTTCCATACTGTCTGTGTTGTTTCATTTGGCTCACGTTTCCTTGGATTCTTTATTCATATGTTATGGTACTGGCTTCCAAGAATAAAGACATGATTGAGACACACGCCCCGAGTCGATGGTTTGTCGTTAGCTGGTGGCTTGATTGATTAGCAGTAGGATTATTCTGCTTGAGCCTCACCTGACACTCTGGCTCACCTCCGCGGACTGTGGTACAAAGCCAGCGGCAGGTGCAGGGAATGGCCCACTTCAGCGGAGTCTGACATCCTCGATCTGTTCCTCCCTCCCTCCCGCAGGAGAAGCTTTGCCAGCAGAAGTATAATGTCTCCTGCATAATGATCATGCCCCAGCACCAGAGGCAAGGATTTGGACGGTTTCTCATCGATTTCAGTAAGTGGAGAGCTTCCTTTGCTTTCATGACCCAGCAAGCCGATCGCAGTGAAAGGGAGAGTAACATAAAACTTTGTTTAACCTGCGTTGTGTTTGTCAATAGGTAATGGTTTTTCTATTTATATTTGCATAGGTTAGAAAATCTTCCTCAAGTGAAAAATTTACTCCTGCTCACTTATTGTACTCCAGGAAATTGAGACTAGATCTCTCAGCAGTGCCGCCCGCTCACAAAGCCATTACCCCGAATGAACCGGCAGAATTGCATTCCATTCCATGGTGTTCATGCTCATTAGCACCAAGAGAGGCAATTATTTGCGATTAAAGCTGAAGAAAGTGTTATTTAAAAGGATATTCGGCTTTCTAAAATTTTGCCTATAATCTTGTACGGTACAGAGCAGGGGAGGGATAGGTCTCGTTAGAAAAACAATTCTGTAGGTAGCCTGTTCTTTGAGCTTCCCTAGTAGAAATAATGATCTTGTTTTGTTCACTTCTCTTTTCTGTTAGGGAAATGATTACAGTGTTTGTATCTAGAAGTTGCCCAAGAAATATTTTTTACACACCTTCGTATCTTTTTTTTTTATATATATATTTTATTGATTTTGTACAGAGAGGAAGGGAGAGAGATAGAGAGTTAGAAACATCGATGAGATAGAGTCATCGATCAGTTGCCTCTTGCACACCCCCTACTGGGGATGTGCCCGCAACCAAGGTACATGCCCTTGACCGGAATCGAACCTGGGTCCTTTCAGTCCCCAAGCCGACACTCTGTCCATTGAGCTAAACCGGTTTCGGCTACCTTCGTATCTTTTGAGTTCCCTCAATTAAGACTACAAAAATATATAAAATTGTGCACATGATAATGCAGGAAAAATGTAGTGTTTTTCTCTTTTATATTATGTCGGTTGTGTAACTGTAGTGTTAAGGCTGCACTTGGAGAATTGATTAAAAATAGCCAGATAACATGAAGGCCCTGGGTGCCGTGATAATAGCTATTTTTGACGATGTAAAAATCTGTCACTGGGAACTGTGCGCTGCTTACTAAAATCAGATTGTAGTTTGTCTGATTTTGAACTTAAAGAAGAAAATTTCAGGAAATTGTATAATCTTCATAAAGTACATCAAATGTGTACTTTGAAAATCAGGGAGAGCTAGGTTTTCATTGCACACAGTGTAAATGTGTGCAATGAAAATCAGGGAGAGCTAGGTTGAATATATATCTACATTATTAGATATTGAAATATTAAAGTTTGGGTGTAAAATAATGGTGGATCGATTTTGAACTGATGGAGTGATGTATTAACATTGAAGGATATTTTTTGAAGTATTTTTTTATTGATTATCTTTGTATTTTGGGGTAACATTTCTAGTTATTAATTCATTATCCTCATCTATTCTTTCCTGATCTAGTGCTTCCCAAGGAGGCCATCTTACAGGAGTTCACGTTTTCATTTCAGAGAGTAAATCCAATGGTCTTGTTCTGAAGTTTTGTGGCCAGTATTCATAAATATTAGAATTTCTGGTATGCATAGCAGCCATTCAAGACTTAAACTATTGATAGTTTGTTTGTGTGACTAGCGAATAAGTTCATTGTCCAAGGTCTTCCAGCTTCTCGTTGCAGCCTGTGGCTTTTTTATCTATTACCCGGCCCCTCGAGTGTTCTGACCCCCCTTCTTGGTCTCTGCATCCCCTCCCCGGAATGCGCACGGCCGGCCAGAGAGCCTCTTCCTTTTGACCCACCTCCTCCTTTCATCTCATCTCATCTCCTCCTGGCTCCTGGCCCTTAGACTCAGCCCGCCCTTTGGTCCTAATCGTGGATGTGTTATATCTCCAGTTCACTGTAAACTCCCTAAATACCTTCCTCTTTGTCTCCGGTAGGACAGTGCACGCAATAATCTGCATTAGTTTTGTATGCTTGTTGATTGGAATTGGGTCTCCAAAGTGATAGGGTAACTGCCCACAATAATTTCCTACCTAAAATTGAAAAGGGGCTGGGACTTGCCAGGTAAAAATGCATGTCTCCAGATACAGAAGCTTCTTATTTGTACAACATGGTCTCATATTGAGGCCTTCGACATAAGGAAACCGCCCGGAAAAAAGACGTTACCGGCAACTATATACTACACCCCTGTGTCAGCCATTTCTGTGAAAGCTCTGTAGAGCCTACACTGTATTTTTAAACGTGAGCTGTGAGACACAATAGAACCTTCTGGATGGCTCAGGGCCAGCATGATGAATGCCCTCCGTTAGGGCGTGTCCAAGCAGTGCAGCGCTGAGGGTCTAATTTTAGATTTTCTCTTTCCTATGCTGTTGGCATTGCCCCTACACTGGAGTGGATTAAGGAGTGCGGTGAATGATTTGAATAACTTTGAGAGGGGATTGAGGTTATTCCTTCATAGAAGAGGAGATCAGGGGAAGAATTTTATAACATTCAAAGAAAATTGGAAGTAGTGTAAAGCCAATAGAAATCTAATTTAAAACAAAACAAAGTGCCTTGCCTACTAAGGTTTTAAAAAAGATAGAGTAGGCTGCTGAAAAAAAAAAATTGATAGCATTGTATGCTTTGGAGTTTCTTAAAATAATAGTAGATAAATATCTCCCTGGAACAATTTAGGTCCAGTCTTTTGCAGAAGAAGGAGTTAAACCCCATGACCTCCCAAAATCCTTATCAGCCTCATAATTCGGAAATCAGGGCAAAACAGATTACTGGGGATTATGGGTTTTCTAAAATCTGCTGTTAAAGGGACCTTTTAATGATTATATTTATTTTATTCCTACTTTGTACGTAAGCCTGAGGGTCTGTGGTCAGGGGATGTGTTGTGAGTAATTCAATAAAAGTTGTAAGGCAGGGAAAACCTTATTTTGTCTATAGCAGCTGCTAGTTCAGGAAGCTGAAACTACTTGCCCACTTGCACACGGGCTCATAGGCATCGGTGAAATACACTGTGTCTCCGTAAAGAGCTGTGAATCCGTGGCTTTGAACACTTCTCCAGGCCAGTCAGAGAGGGGGAGTGGTCATCCACCAGGCCAGAGGCTGCCCTTGGGACAAGTGGTCTCTCTTCCTAGGACAGCTTGTCTGGGATTTGCAGAGTTTGGCCAGGGTGACTAGAGGACACCACCTCAGCCTGCTCAAACTACCTCTTGGGGTATGTGACTCTGCCCAAAACGTAAGTGGGTTGAGGAAGGTGTGACTGTCATAGGTCAAAGCTGATATCACATGTCTTTCTCCTGGATCCTGAGATTCCCTCTGTTTCAGTCAGAAATTTTTAAGGATCTCCCCATCTCTGTCTTCACACGCACGCACATGCTATGCATGTATGTACACATACATATACCCTACCTTTCATCCCCAGCAGAGAAGCCTCCTTCCCACGAAACCTGTGGTTTTTGCTTCGAAGCCTCCCAAAGCAAGTAGCTGCCCTTCTCCAGGTACTGCTGGGTCCTGGGATGCCCGAGTGTTCCTGCCGAGCTGCCCAGCAATGCCCTCTCCCGCTCACTAATTTTCCCTTTAGTTTTGAAATAATTTAATACAGACAAAAGCTACTAAAACAGTATTAAGAATTCCCAAATACTCTCCCTCCAGATTTCTGAGATGTTACTATTTTATCATATCTGATTTCTGCTTTATTATTCTCAACTTCCCTCCCTCTTGTTCCCGATCTGCTACATCACTTAACACACACACACACACACACACAAATTCTTTATCTGAATCATTTGAGAGTAATTGGCAGACCTGTTGCACCGTTAGGCCTAAATGTTTTAGTGTTTTTCTAAAAACAGAGATACTGTCATTCAAAACCACAAATTATCAAAATCAAGACATAAATGTTAATTCAGCACTATTATGTAATCTTCAAATTTCAAATGGGCCAGTTTTCATGAATGCCCTTTCAAGGAAAGAAAACGTTTCCGCATCTAGGATCACATGTTGAATTTCATTATCCGTTGTTAAGCCTCTTGAGTACTCTGGAATAGCAAGTTATTTTTTGGCAGATTTTTGTGGTAGTAGGTGTTATTTTTTTCTAACCTTGACATTGTTAGCTTGACTTATTTTCTACAATGTCCCTCAATTTGGTTGTCTGATACTTCCATGATTAGATTCAAATTACACATTTTGGGGCAGGAGTGCCACAGAAATGATGCTGTGTACTCAGTGTGCCTTAGCAAGATCACATAGTTTAGTTGTCCCATTACTGCCTTAAGGTGGTGCCTGCTTGAGCTCCTCACTATAAAATAACCCCTTTCTCTTTATAGCCAGTAAAATGGCTGGTAAGAAGACACATTTGAATTTACTGTGGTAGTTACCAAATGGTGACTTTCCAATTCCATTGTTCCTTCTACTTATTAGTTGACATTTACTGTAAGGAAGAGCTTCCTTTATTAAATTTTTAATACAATAACTACTTTATCTAATTACTCATTTCTTTATATAATTCTGGACTCATTGATTTTTTATTTTATTCTGAGGTTTATAACTTGTTGCTGCCATTATTTGTTTTGATATTCAAATTGTCGCAGATTTATTCAGTGGGAACTGCTTCAAACTGCCTCCTGTGTCCTTCTGACCTTTGGGCACTTCCTTACTTTGCAGTACAACATGATGTTCCGGATTATCTTGTTCCTTTCCTGACCTCACCATGCAATCACCCATTTTCCCTAAAGTCCTTGGTTTCTTATCGTGGAAAATGACATAGAAACCAAGATCTGGGCATTTAGATGTGCTTATTGCTATTGGCCTGTCACTGTGTGTAGGCTTTCTTAGGGGATAAAAGTAGGAAATTGGGGGGTACTTACACATGTACATATACACACTCACACTTATCCTAAGTTAATACTGTAATGCTGTATTTCAGACTAATGCCACCACAAGGTTTTATTCTATCTTCCCATTTCCATATTTGTAACTCTGATAGTGAGAAACCCAGCTTCCGTTATCCACAGTCTATTTACATACATGCTCAACCCTAGAATACAACATTAAATTGTTCCAGGATTGGTAA